GTGGGGAGGTGTTGGAGGACGGGGCGGCTTGACGTTCGGTAGCGCTGCGCTTACGTGTGCCGGCTGAAAGGCGCCGAGGTGGGGCTGGGCTCGGGGTGAGAGCGCTCGGCAGGTTTGTGCCGTTGGCGTCGCGGTTCTGCAAGGCCTGCCACAGAGCTGCGCCCTGTCTGTGAAAATGATCGCTTCTGATTCCGTCACCAGTATGTGCGCTGAAATGCAGGAGGGTGGGAATCTGTTGCCTGACGTAGGAATAGCTTTTGTATGAGGTAATGAGTTCTCTAAGAGGAATAAAGAATGAAAGACCCGAGACTAGGCCGTGAAGTTAACTGCCTGGGTGCAGAAAGGATCCGGGGACTCCCGCTGTGAGTTTATGTAGTTTTCACTCGGCACAAAGCAAAACATTTAATACTGCTTTTTTTTTGTTTGTTTGTGTGTGGTTAAACCTTCACATTCTTCCCAAATTCATTTTGATCTTAAGGTGACATCGTAATACTTCTGGGTAATCAAAACTATCCCTGCTTGAAGTTGAAAACAGTTTTTTTTTTTTTTTTCCTGATGTAACTTTTTGCATCTGTTCCCTGCTTTAGGACAGCAGTGATGACATTGAAGATGTGTCTCTCTTTGATGCAGATGCTGATGTATCCAGGAGATCAAAAAAGTCAAAAATAAGGTCAGTGGCCATAGAGAGAGTTTCTGGATGACTTCTGGGCAGAAGCATGAGGATGCAAGGACTGCCATGTGATATCAAAATATGAAATGGCAAATACCTTCTTTATTTGGTTAGAGGTAATGGGGAGTAACTTCTGGATAACTGAAAGTGCCAGTTCCAGAAGCTCAGCTGGAGTTTGTAGGCCTGTCCCTTTGTACTTCTGGGTGCCCTCACATTTAGTGTGTGTTTGTGTTGCTGTGTGTCAGGGATCTCTGCTGATACAATGACTCTGCGTAATGGGAGGTTCTCACCGTTGTTGAGTGCTGGTTCCGAGCTAGTCCGTTATCTCTTCCCCAGTGTTTGTCCTTGACTATGCTTGGTGCTGCCCTGCTATCTGCCATGTCCTGGCATGGTTGGTCCAGCTGCCTCCTTCCTCGTTCTGCCCAAACTGCTGCCACAGAGCAGTGTCCCTACACAGGTGCTGTGGTGACCCTGGCTCTGTACTGCATGTTTCTGACCTGGAAACTGCAGAAATCAGAAAGAAGGGCAAGTCTGATGTGTTGAGAAATGTGATCATTCATTCAGAGGTATTTTCTCTGTCAGAACCTTTTTAAATTTACCCCATAAAAATTGCCTTACATTGAACACCAGGTAAAACTCCTTGTCCCCTTCCATCCCAAATTCTGTCTGCACATGGGATATCACTGCATGTAGAATGTGTCTTCCTTATGATGAGCTACAAATCAGTTTATTTCCCATATTTTCAGAAGTCGTTTCACACTGGGTTCATGTTACGATGCTGATCCTTGTCCTGTGAGTTGGCAGGAGGTCACTTGGCAGTGTCATTTCTCTGAAATTGCTTCAGTCTTGTCTGAAAGAGCTGTGACTGTACTGTACTTCATTCCAGGCATCCAGTGGCATCATTTTTCCACTTATTCTTCCGAGTCAGTGCGATAGTTGTCTATCTGCTCTGTGAGCTCTTAACTAGCAGCTTTATTGCCTGCATGGTGACAATTATCCTCCTCTTGTCGTGTGACTTTTGGGCTGTAAAGGTAAGTTCCTCTTACGCTTTTTGTTATCTTTGTCTTACTATATAAGAATAATAGAAGAGAGCGATATTCACATCACACAAAAAGAAGTAACTTCTTTGTGCCTTTCCCACAGAATGATACCCAAAATACCCTCAAGTAATGTGATGTATTGCAAAGTGTTGCAAAAGAATAATTCTTAAATCTCTGTGTATCTGGGTTTTTTTTGAAATCAAATGGAGAAACATATATTAGGTTTTCTTTTAACAGGCTTCAATATCAGATCACGTTCAAATCACCAGAAATGCGCCTCACAGTAATTTAGTATTATACTGGACATACTAGAAAATAGATTGTTGTGGACATAAGAGCCTTGTAATCTTGTTTTCCCAAATGTGAGGCAAATGAGCAGCGTTGAAAATAGCAACTCAAACAGCTGAAGTTTGGCAAATGGTTTCTTTTAGCAGAAAATTCGAAGCTCCTTGCTTTTCTTCTATTTCAGAATGTCACAGGGCGACTGATGGTTGGCCTTCGCTGGTGGAACCAGGTGGATGACGATGGTAGAAGTCAGTGGATATTTGAAGCCAGGAAGG